CCGGTGCGGCATCGACCGAGGCCGCGCGGGAAGGGCCAGGAAGATTGCGGGGGGGGCCCAGGAGGGCACCGCCGCCGCACAGAGAGGGCACGGAGGGCAGAAGAACCCCCGAGACCCCCCGACACCCCCAAGATCCCCAAATTCCCCAGGAAACCTTCAGAGACCCAGGAAACCCTCGAGACCCCCAAGATCCCCGATATACCCCAAAAGATCCCAAGGCCCGAAGGCCCTCAAGATCCCCATGAACCCAAGGCCCAAAGATCCCCAAGACCACAAGATCCCCAAGGCCCCCAATATCCAAACCCTCAAGACTCAAGAGACCCCGAATATCCCAAGACTTAAGAGACCCATGTTCCCCAATATCCCAAGGTCCCCAAGATCCTATGGAACCCCTCAAGGTCCCCAGGATCCAAAACCTCAAGAGACCCCCGAGATCCCAAGGATTCCCTAGGTTCCACAGGCCCCCCAGATCCCCAAGGGCCCCAATGTTCCCAAGAACCAGGGGCGATGGCGGGATGGGCCGAAAGCCTCAACCTATTTTTCGTTCGATCCAACCACGGACGAATCACAGCTTGCACGTCATTGACTCCTGCGCCCTTCGCAGCAGTGAAAACGATCGAACACTAACAAGCATTACAGTCACCCCGTAGAATATTGCAGAGGCCGGCAGACAAAGCGGCGCTCGCTCCATCGCTGTCCAATCAGGAGCAGGGCACGTTTCAGCACTCGCCGGCCCCAGGGGGCCAAAGAGGCGTGAGCGCGCCTTCCCCGTACTTACGTTGGAGCGAGGACGGGAATGACGAGGAGAGCCAAGGTGGGGAAGAGGAAATTGAAGGATGGACGAGGATTTGGCGGACGCGGCAGCAAGATATATCAACTTAGACGAGCTCCGAGGGTCGGTCCGTTGCCCTGACCTCTTCCACTTACCTAAAACATCTTCCTCTCGCAACGTGTCAAACCACAGCGGATTCATGCGACTACGGGGCAGATCCATCAAAGTGTGTTGCCAATAATGATCTTTCTGCCTGAGGCGCCAAAGAAACAAATTCTTACGAGTGCTGTCATCACAGAGCCAGGCGTTGCATTTCAATGTAACCATGCCGTACTTCTTGGCCTCGGCAGCGTCTTCACACGACAAGATCGGCCCATTTTTGCCCAAGAGAGATATGTATGATGAGAGAGCCTTGAGAAGCGTCGCCCTCATGCGGCTCCTGGCACTCCCACTGCACAATTTGCCACAACGATCGCTCACGAAGAAAACAAGAGCTTTGACGCTGACGGCCTTGAAAGCGCTGCTCAGTTCAGGGTAGTTCTGGTCGTTGAGCCTGTCTTTCCCAAACGATCTCAGCGAGAAGCCGGGGCCCTGTCGAGGGGGGGCGAAACGGGGGGGGCACCTCGTTTTCGCGCGGTCGATCCCAGGGCCCGAAAATCAGACATAACAAAACGACTGGGCGACGGCGGCCGACGACTACATTCCCCGACCTTCGGGTAAGCCAGCCGGAGCGACTTGCACCACTCGTGCACCTTCTCCCATTCATCCAACAATTTTTGATCAGTAGTTTGCGTTGCATCACCGATAAGACCTTCAAAGATAAGGTCTAGGGGCGCCGATGGTATGATATCCCGGACAATCCCGAGGAATAAATCATGGGCGTCATCAAACAGATTGAGCTCGATGCGCCAACCAACTATTTGACTCAAAGGCGACATCAAGTCAGCAGGACAAGTTGCCAAGTACCTCTCGTGCGACAGCGCTGTCTGAAGATGGCCAGCGCTATCGTTGAAATCTGTATACAGAAGCGACGCGTCAGCATGCAAGTGGGTATTGTTTGCGCCGCACCTGTCACACATCTTAGTGCACTGCCAAAAACTAGAAAAAAAAATCACCTCCTTGCGAGCTTTCAAGTCGGCTTTGCTCCCAGCGAAACAAGCCATGAATACGCCAGCTCGTCCGCAGACGAGCAAATCACAGGGCTCGCCGACATGAAATTCCATTAAAAAAGGAAGGAGGAAGGAGAAGAGAAAGGAGGGCAGGAGGTTGGGGGGGGGGCGAGGAGGAGCAGAAAGAGGAAGAGGAGAAGAAAGACGAAATAGAGAGGGGGGGGGCCAGGGAAGGAAAGGCCGGGGTGGCTTCGCGAGAGGGCCCGAACGGTCTAGCATTGAGATGCCTCCCCAATCTTATCCGCAACCAACTTCAGGATGGCAAGTTCTCGGCGTCGTCTTTGCGGCCCATATTTTTCTCTCCTGAGTGCCCCTCGCTCGCTCCTTCTATCTATATCATCCTCCGCCACCTCCTTCCCAGTCCCCCCCCCCATTCACCCCCCCCCTCCTCCTCCTCCTCCGCCCACTTCTGCCCCCCCCCGCACGCACACACACACACACACACACGCACACACACACACACACACACACACACACACACCACACACACACACACACACACACACACACACACACACACACACACACACACACACACAACACACACACACACACACACACCACACACACACACTCACACTCACCACCACACACCTCCCTCCCTCTCGCCCCCCCCCCCCCCCTCCCCATCGCCCTTCCCTCCCCCGCGCAACCTTCAATCGGAATGGCGAAGCCGCGGCCTCCGTCGCTTGTGAGCGGCTCATTATCTCGGGTCAAGCCAGTCCTCATCCACGCAAAATCCGATGCAATATAACGATAGATCTCCCAGAAGACCATTCGTTTGATTTCAACTGTCGGCATGCAAGCGTGTCTCACCGCAGCAATTGGAAAGACCGAATCATAAGATGAGTTCGTCCTCACCGTGCCAGAGCACCATAAAAATGCATAAAATTCACTCCGCCTGTGGACCTCGTAGCCGTCTACGAAGATAAACAATGGCAAGAGGCGGTTGCGTTGGGATGCATCTAGTTCCGACAAAACTTCGTGCTTCTTATACGGCTCCCACTCGCACACGCCGTCCCAAAATGATTGAAGCCCGCGGTCCCCATCATCCCCTAAGAGGCTCTCTTGAAATCTCTCCGGCCCGCGCTGCGATATGTATTTGATGAGCCTCGACGGGGGGAGCAAGTAAATCTCAGTTAATTTCACATGTTTTTTGCCAGGCTCTCGCAGCGGTACCCAGATCCAATCGCCCTTCGCGGGCTGTGCCAGCGCGCCGCGAATCTCCCCCTTCCAGACGAGCCAACTCTGCCAACGCCCACGCGCTTACTGCAAGTGCATTGGCATCGTTTCTGGGCGAGCTGGCGGGGACTACTGTCGAAACCCCGCGCCCCGGGGCCCTCGCTTTTAGCTGTGGATGGGGGTTGCCAACCGAAGGCAGCATGGATAGAATCCAGCGGTAAATTGAATGACGCATCAGCTAACCACCTGTCCATGTCGCGGTCCACGTTCGAGGGGTCTCTGTGGGGCAGGGCGGACATCCACTCTACGGCTGGTGAGTTCGCCCCAACTGCTTTCGCAGCGGCCGCCATGTCCACTGCGTCGTGCCACCATATTTTACCACACCCCACACGTTCCAGCGTCGCACTCGCGTAGGGGTCGTCCCCGTGCTCGACGTAGCGGGCCCTCCTGGGGGGCGGCGGAACAAAATCAGCGGCCCTCAAAGGGGGCCTTGGATTCGACATTCAACGGGGCCCACGAGGCCCGAGTGAAGGTCCATCGGGAAATACATGATTTGGGGCGTGGTCTCGGGGCCCGATGGCTCCTGCGCGGAACCCGACGCGTCGACAGCAGCAGGCGCCCGCGCTCGGGGCGATGGCCTCGTGGCCAGGGCGGGGGCAGGGGCGGATCAGCCCTCCCCGCGAGCGAACAGGGGGGGGTCGAGTGAGGAGGACAGGAAGAGAGGCAGGGAGAAGGAGGGGGGGGGGAAGGAAAGGGAGGTGGAGGCGCAGGGAGAGAAGAAAGAGGAGGGGGAGGAGGAGGAGGAGGAGGAGGAGGATCGGAGGAGGATAGAGAAGGACGGATAGGGCGAAGCACAACAGGGGGGCTCGGGGCTCGCTTTCAGCAGTTCCTGGCGCTTTGCGCATATGCATGGAGAAGCGCCCAGAGAAACGCATCGGCAGGCGCGGGCCCCGCGCGCATGGAGGGCGGTCGAGAACGAACCAGGAGGGAATGCAGCAGATATTTGCGAACAGACAAGTCTCGAGAGCTCGCTGGGATATTTCGGCCAACTTTTTCTATTTCGGGCAAGCGCCTTGTCCTGTAAATGTTCGACGGGGCTTGGGGTCTCGAGGCCGCCCAGGACAGTCGCGAGACTCCGGCGGATGGGGGGGTCGATGGGGGAGGGCGAGGGGGGGGATAATATTTTCAGCTACTCTTGGGAGACATCCGTAACCCGACTGGGTAGCTCCAATTCTCGGCGCCCCTCGGGGGCCCTGCTCACCCCCTCGCGGTGCCATCTTGGCTGGACCTTCGAGTGCTCTGTGGCGTTGGGCCCCTCTTGGGCCATCTCGAGGCCTCGGGCAAAAAGGCCGCGGGGGGCTCAAGGTTTGCGTTTCGGGGGGCCCGGGGCCCCGGGCAATTGCGAGGGCGGTCTGCGGGCAAACCGCACATTCGAGGCCGCCACCGCGAGTTTCGAGGCCCACGTGGAAGCCGGCCTGTTGAACACTCTCGGGTTCATCACCTTCTTCCTCTTCATTCTGCTCATCCTCCTCCGTCCTACTTCCCCCGCTGCCCCCTCCCTATCTCCTCTGCCGTGCCGCCCATCGCGCCCGCGCCATTCCCCCCAGCCTCCCAATCCCCCTCTTCTTTCTTCTCCTCCTCCTCCTCCTCCTCCTCTCCACCCCCTCCTCCTCCTCCTCCTCCTCCTCCCCCTCTCCTCCTCCTCCCCCTCCTCCTCCTCCTCCTCCTCCTCCTCCTCCTCCTCCTCCTCCTCCTCCTCGTTCTCCTCCTATGTCACCTGCTCACCTCCCTCCCCCTCATCTCGTTATTCCGCCACTTCATGGCTATCCCGGCCCTTCCTCCTCAACCCCCGCCCTCGCCATCCTCGTCGTCGGCGCCTCGCTGGCCTTGGCCTGCGAGCTGGGTCTCTCGCGCGGCGGCTGCAGCTGGCGGCGCAGGCGCCCCTCGCGAACCGCCTTGCGGGCGGGGCGGCGGGGGGGGGGAGCGGAAGATATAGGGAAATTACCCCAGCGCGACCCCACCTAGAAGTTGGAGCCCCTAGGAAAGCAGCATTAGTTGCTATGCTATGTTCTGCTATGCTATGCAATGCACTATGCTATGCTATGCCATGCTTTGCTGCGCTCTGCTATGCTGTGCTGTGCTGTGCTGCGCTATGCTATGCTCTGCTATGCTATGCTGCGCTATGCTATGGCTGTGCTGCGCTATGCTATGCTACGCTCCGCTATGCTATGCTGTGCTCTGCTATGCTAGCGCTCAGCGAAGCTAAGATGAAGGTAAGCTAAGCAAAGATAACCGGGGGGGCCGCCTGGGGCGTTTTACATTGCCCGGCCCTTTAAGCATAGAGAGTAAGAACCTTTCTAGGCAGAGCTAGGTAGGGAATGCAGAGAGCAGAATCAACACAGAAAGAAAGAGAGAGGCATTCGTGATATTGAGGATGAGGTTGAAACGAAGTCGAGGAAGGAATGGGCGGATTCATAGCTTAAGCTTGGGAGCGATTGCATTTGTTCCCCGTGCCGTTGCATGAGATCGCAGTCTGCAACATAACCCCTGCTTGTCGAATGGGCAGCGCGAGCAACGCCAGCCACGAGCCACGGAGTGCGGGGCAAGGGAGGAGGTAAGACATAGGGGATCATTTGCACTCGGAGATGTGAGGTAAGAAGAAAGGGAGTGAGCAACCAGCACAGGGCTCGGGCTCGTGGCTTAACACTCATCAATTGACAATCAGCTCGGACTGCAGCGCGCCCTCACCGCGCTCTGGAGCTCACCCCCGTCAACCGTGAGTAGTCTGGGTACTGATGATGCTTTCATGCCGCCGACGCAGTCTCCTCCCCGCCCTCTCTCTTTTTTTTGATCTCGATTTTTGGCTTCGCAACCTTCTTGCCCATGACCTCATTGTGCATTTTCTGCGCCAGCCCCTTGTTATCAGTGAACCACTGAATCTGATCAGCAATCTGGGTCATGAGGTCTGGGTCCGTCCGCCGGCATGCCAAGGCAATGCCGATGGGCTTAACAAGTGTATTTGTCTGTCCGTCCTGGTCTATACCGCGTATGTGACGCTATTGTTATATATCTATCTCACTTGTTCTCTCTCTCTCTCTCTTTCTCTCTCTCTCTCTCTCTATCTCTCCCATGTTTTTTCTTCTTTCTCTATCTGTCTCTCTCTATCTCTCCCCTTTTTTGTTTTCTCTCTCTCTCTCTCTCTCTCTCTATCTCTCGTCTCATTCCCCTCCCTCTCTCTCTCTCTCTCTCTGTTTCTCTCTCTCTCTCTCTCTCCTCTTTCTCTTTCTCTCTCTCTCTCTCTCTCTCTCTCTCTCTCTCTCTCTCTCTCTCTCTCTCTCTCTCTCTCTCTCTCTCTCTCTCTCCTCTCTCTCTCTCTCTCTCTCATCTCTCTCGCTCTCTCTCGCTCTCTCTCTCTCTCTCTCTCTCTCTCTCTCTCGCTCTCTTCGCTCTCTCTCTCTCTCTCTCTCTCTCTCTCTCTCTCTCTCTCATCTCGTCTCTCTCTCTCTCTCTCTCTCTCTCTCTCTCTCTCTCTCTCCCTCTCTCTCTCTCTCTCTCTCTCCTCTCTCTCTCTCTCTCTCTCTCTCTCTCTCTCTCTCTCTCTCTCTCTCTCTCTCTCTTGATCTCTCCCTCCTCGCTGTCGCGGTCGCCCCCCTAGCCCCCCGGCCCCGGGCGCCCCAAGCGCAGGGGCGCATGCGTTTCCGTCGCCGAGAGGAGGGGGGGAAGGAGGATGACCATTGAGGTAGAGGGAGGAGGAGGGGTTGGGAGGGGGAGCAGGAGAAGGAGAAGGAGAAAGAGGGCGCCCCAGGGCGCCCCGTTCAGGACTCCGCCACCGCAAAGATATGCGAACGCAAACGATGGCCCAAGTGAAGGCGCGAAGCGCTCTGTAGAATATTATCCTTCACGTTCTTGGCGGCCTTGCCGTAGATGACGTCCATCATGTCCGCGCGCCGGATCAGCTCTTTGCTCAGCTCTGACCCGAACTGGTGGTGCGTCAAGGACTTCCCGAGGGCCCTTGCCTTCGTAGCCTGGTCGTGTATCTTCGGCATCTCCTTCTTCAAGCTTTCGAGCGGATCCACTTCTGTCCTCTGCGCCTCGCTGGCCTCCTCGGCCTGCGTCTCCCGCGGCTTGATCCTGCTCACCTTGCTCCCCTCGGCCTTGGGCGCATCCATCAAGAACTTGGCCATCTCGGTCTCCGAGGCGCCCATGATGTTCACCGAAAGGTTGTCCCCGAGCGCCCCCCCCTCGCCCATGAGGTGCTGGGCCATGCGGTCGCCCACCGAGGCGCGGCCCTCGATGCCGAACGTCTCCTCCGTCTTCTCGAGCCTGGTGTGAGAAACTTTCACGCGCACCCTGTACCAGCGCTCCTCCACGTCGTCT